GGTTTGAAACAGGCAGAAGAGATGACTGACCACAGCCTCGCTGAGATAGGGCGTTGACATACTGGGTCTTTTTGGCCGATCGTGGAAGTGAGTGGTTGCTAGGGTCTTGTGATGCGTGAATGCCTTCACCTCGCCCACCACGAAGTTGGCACCAAAGACGTGGGCTTTATTGCGCAGGTGACGGATGAGGAGCCAGGGGTCGAACCAACCCTCGTATCTCTCGCCTATGAAAAAACGGCGAAGGACTTTTTCGTAGTGGATGATTTAAAAACGAAGTTAAATACCTACTATATGCGATTTAGTATGCGTAGTTAGACTTATTTAGTTCACGCAAATCTTTGGCGTCCTGCAATGACTTAGTTTTAGCTTAGTTTACATTTTAAGTTAAATCGTTTTTTTATTTAGTAGTTTAATTTTAGGTAAGTTTTCAATTTAGTTAGTTTTGTCTAATTTAGTTTATTTATTTTTAGCTTAGTCTTTGTTTTCTTATGTTTTTAGTTTATTATTTTGTTCTAATAGTTTTAATTTAGTTTACCTTAGTTTAGTTTACTTTTGTCTTACGTTTATTATTTTGTTTTATCTAATTCACGGTGACTATGTTTGCAGTTCTTTTTTTCCTATTGACTGCATTGCCCATTTTAATTATCGCGCGCAAAACATTAGAGTACTTAAATAATTATTCCTATTCTTTTTTTACCTCTATACGCTCTACTTTATTATTTCTTCTTCCTCCGATATGACCCACCCATGATGATGATATCATATAACCCCTAGTGCCACCGGTACCGTAACAAAAAATACTGTAGCTAGGGTATATAACGTCCACTACTTTTGCAAAAAAAATACAACCAAAAGCACACACGCGGTGCGCGGATTGTAAATGTGGCCAAAAGATATGCATGCAGGCAGGCAAACAGGCTTGGGGATGGACTCACCAAATGAGGCCAATCGGACGTCGGAAACATCCATCCAGGGCCAACGTTTGCCCACGGTTTCAGGCGACATGAGTTGGCTGGGCACCTCGAGAGCACTAAAATAAAGTAGGGGGTCAGCGGCAGAGGAAGGAACCTGCGATTGAATCTGGGTGTTTTCGTTCAACACGTCGACGCCCTTTTCATCCGCCAGAATGAGGTGTCCGTGTGGTACAAAGTTGACGGAGGCCATCTCCTCGGCTGTAACAGCAGAAAGCGACAAAAAAGAGGAATGTCCGTTAGGCCGACTAAGAAAAGCAATATGGTAGGTATTCATAGGTATTAATAATTAAAAACCTCTTTGCAGATTTTCAGTAGGTTGAATTTCCGCCTACACAAAAACCTCCTTGGGTAGTTAATAGGATTTGTTGCACAGTAGTCG